GATTAATTGTTTAACTGATAAAAAATTTTTTATAAGTTAATTAAAAATTAAAGTAATTCCTTCTTTTGTAAATACGATTGTCTAAAATTGATAAATATATCAAATTTGATCAACTTTGCTGATTTTTTAACTGTCTCAAAAATAGGGTCCTGTGGTTCGAGACACTGGGGACATGTGACTTTAAAGTGTCTCATAAATAGGGTCATGTAGGTTCCCCAAAAAAACCATAATTTAATTAATTTTTGACCAAAAAAACTATAAAAACAATATGAACATTGATTTAATGATCATCAAATTATCGTATAATGCGATTAAAAGTGTATTTTTTTCTTAAATGGATTAATTACTCGCAGGAATGTTCAACCTACCTTGAAAAGTGTCTCATAATAGGGACTTTTACCTTACCTATATATATTTTTTACATATACTTAAGCCACACCAGACACGTCTGCGCGAAAAAATATATCTGATTTTTTATTTAATCTCGCGTTAAATGGAGCCATAAAAAAATAAGTGTCAATTTGAATTCTCATTTGCATCGTTAATAAGGAAACAAAAAACTTTTGTTGATCCATTAATAAAATAATAAAATTATTTTTTCTATTTTTTTTACAATCGAATGAGCATTATGAGTTGTGCACTTTTGGATCTTCTAAACTTTTGTTTTTTTTAGGCGTATTTTAATTTCATTATTTTCAAACTTAAGTTGTATCATTCTTGTTGGTTATTCATTTTTTTTTCGAAATAAACGTTTCTTGTAAAATCGTACAAATAGAATCAAATAAGTAAAATTTAAGAAATTCAAAAGTGTACAATTAAATTTAAAAAAATTATAGAATTAATCTTCATTCAATTATACTTTTGATGTTGTAAAAATTTGTTTGTTCCGTGAATTACCAAGAGTATAAAAATATAAATAGTTCCAGAGAAGAAACAAAAGAAGTTTGCATAAAACAACTTCTTGAAAAGTTTTTTACAAATTTCTCAACTTATATTTTTATACGAAGAATCTGTTAAAAATCACATCGAAGAAAATCTTAATTCAAGAAGAAAATTCTTAAACCAAGAAAATAATTGAAGAAGTTTATTGTCTAAATTTAGGAAGAAAAATTCTTGAACTGATAAATTTTTCTTGGTTTATGTAAATTTTACATTTTTGACGAATTTTTCTCTCAAATCAAGTCAATTTTTTTCTCAGGTTATTACTTATGTAATGTAAAATAATATTGACTCAACATAAAAAACTTTTTCCGAACGGAACCAAAAAAAAAGCTTTAGGAGAAGAAAAGAAGTCACATCACATGAATTTATCTATTACTTATTTATGACGCAGTGATACTGAAGATTTAAATTAAAGCTGGAGACTTATAGAAAATTTAAGACTGTAAAATGATAGTATGCTGAAGGTGATTTTAATATTTATTATCCGCTTTAAATATTACCGTGTGACGTAAAAGTATTCAGATGTGCGCCAGTTCAAACTGCTCTTGCACGGTAACAACTAAATTTTTCATTTTATCAACACAATTGTGTACTTATGATAATAAGAATTAGTTATTTATTTTTGATACTGATTTTCCTATGATAAGAATTTTACAGACAAAACAGTTGCTGTCTCGAGGTCGAAGAATTGTATCCTTTAACCTATGACCGGAGTGACAAGGGATGTTTTTCGAAAACTATGATACTGAATATTCATTTTTTAGTCATAAGTTATAATTTATTCTTACATAACTACAAAAATTATTTACACTTCTTCAGTGTCATCAATTAATTAAATAAATTTTTCAAATTAATGAAAATAATTTTTATTTAAATATTTGCTACTGATAAGCTACTACTCATTCTATATACGTTAATTTAATTACAGCCTAATTTTTAAACATGCATTTCAATTAATCATTTAAATATTTCACATTCATTGCAATTAATTTTCAACACTTGACTTAATTAACATATAATTGATTAATAAAAAAAAATGCTATTATTCAGTTTCACGGTCAACTGATTTTTGGAGGGTAAAAGATCGAAACATTTAAAAAAAAATTTTTTTTTTTTCAATTATTCTATATTACAGCGGATTTTCATGAAAATAAAAAAAAATTTGTAATAAGTTTCAAAGCTTTTAATGTTAATATAAAAATGAACAATTGAAAAAAAAATTTTTAAAATGTCAATTTTTTTTACTTTTTCAAAAATTGTTTTTAATGAAAAATTTCATTTCACGACGGATTTATGATATTGACTATGAAAATTAAAAAAAAAATTTTTTCAATTAGTTTTAGAATTTTTAAGGTAGAAAAAAAATTTATGAAAATTAAAGTAGCAGATATTTGATAATTTTTAGAATTTTTTAATAAATTACAGCAAAAAAAAATTAGAAAACAAAATTAACATGTAGAAATTGAAAAAAATTATAAATGAAATTTTTTAAAAATAATTTTTCAGAACAAATTTGATTATTAAATAAAATTAAAAAATGGTCCATTGATTGCTAACTTTAATGTCATAAAAAATTTTTAACAATTGCTAAAAAATTTTTTAACATCAATTTTTTTTTATAATTTCTTCAAACAATTTTTTCGTCGAAAAATTAACATTAAAAAAAAATTTTATTTTAATTATACGCCAAAATACGATACAATTTATCTAGCTATGAGAGGCACCGACAGCTTGCTGATTGCATTTTCTTTTTTAAAGTACTAGAAATGTAAATAGCGCGCTACGCGCGCGCCTTATTTTCGACCAATAAGGAATCGTAGCCCATTTTTTTGCGAGTTTCGACCTTTGACTAACTTCAAGACTATCATGTATTTTAATTTAAAGGATTGACTGGACTTATCGAAGCCCCCGACGTTCTCAGCTGTTTTGAATTCATTAATAACAAACAGAATCTAAGACATAACCAATTACTCAAGACCTCCCTTTCTAACAAGAACTACATCATCAACGGTCCACACAACAGAATTGCTAATTTAGTCAATAAACTCCCTGGCGGATTCGGGTTCACAGTAAAATGATCGTGAAACGACGGTGAATGTACCGTGAATTCACAGTGTCGACAAATGATCGTCGAATGACCGTCACTTGACTGTCGAACGGCCGTCATTTAACAGTGAACGACGAGTATCATTGTGAAAGTTTTTCACTGTTACTTTATGATTTTTATTCTGTATAATTATCATACTTCACTCTTCGAAAAACCAAATTTTTACTTGACTTCTTCGATTTTTTACCTAAGTAAAAATCGTAGATCATCGATCGATCGTCTGTCATTTGACAGTCATTCGAAAACATATAAATTGTCAAAAAACCGTAACTCGGTGGTGGATGCACAGTAGTCTGTAAGTGAAACGATCGTGAAACGAACGTATAATGTCGGTAAGTCAGGAATGTTTCACTAGTCAACGAAGAAAAATTGCTGACAACATTTTATTTTATTTTATTTCCATAAAAATATTCAAACCATAAATTATAAATTATGATCGCTATATATTTTTATATTATTATATAATATTTTATAGTTGCCATCTGGCCTGTGCCTTGGCATTAATAAATCTAAATAATCTAAATAATCAACATTGTTTTTCTTTTTTTTTT